GTCAACCCTGAGCCGGTGAGATTTGAACAGCCGAACTGCAGAACTGCAGTCAGCTGAAGTAGCCTGCAGTGTTGCATTTAACCACTGCGCCACCTTGGCTCTAATGCTGCAAACAGATTTTGAAAAATGGTCATAAGTCACTTTTTTTTCAGTGCCATTGTAACTTTGAATGGTCATTAAGTGAATTTTGTAACTCAAGGATGACCTGCATATGCTGCTTTATCTTCTTTTCCATCTCTATGATCTTTCTTACCTAAGATCTGCAGACACATAGCACTTCAATCTTGCTAACTGGGAATTAAAGAGCCTGATGGGGGCATCAGATGTGGATTGGCTGTTCTACAATTATAAAAAGATGTTAGACCTACACAAAGTCAGTTTCATCTTGTAGCGTGACCACAGGCTGGAAGTCCAGGTTTCTCTTACGCATTCCTAGAAGGCACACAGTTTCCGGAATATTGGTAAACACCTTTCCTATAAAGGGGGGAAAATAGTTTTAACCACAGGAAGTGTGTCAAAATAGTACACATTAACTTCAAAAGACTACATAGGAAGGGGGGAAGTGTTAGAGGGGCCCTCACGGTGTGTTTAATTTGGGTTAGTTATTAAAACAATACAACAAGGAGAATGTAAATGGGAATTATGAAAACTTGGAAATTAGGATGAGGATGGTAATAATTAATAACGAATGAATGTTCAAAATTAGTATTTAAAAAAACCAAGAACTTTTTCAGCACTACGGTCTGCTTTTTTTCATTGCTAATAAAATTGAAAATACATAAAAATGTTACCTTCTTCTGTGTTCCATGAAGCCATTGGAAGCAGGGAGAAAAAGAAAGAATATTTGTGACTAAAAAATGTGGTTGCCTGTTATTTATAAGACATATCGCGGAACGTAAAACCTAGGAAGAAGGAGAGTCCTGGGCAAGGAGCATCTTGGTACCACAGATAGGAGGACTTTGGAAGGATAGTAATTTTCATTCCACTCTTAAAGCTGGAGCAGACTTCTCCAGCATTGCACGTGAGAGAACGTAAACATCTGTCATGAGGGGATGGTTGCATAAGTTGGTTGTTGCTGTTGTTTTTTTATACATAAGCTCATTTTAAAGTTTTGGTTAGGGGGCGCAGCAAACCACAGAACAGGAACTCAGATCAGCCAAAAAGCACACAGGATGTGAACTATCACAAAACGCACCAGGTTGGGATCTGTCAGGAGTTTTTATGTTTTCTTCTCTGCAGTCCTCTGCAGCCTCCAATTACTCATTAACCCTTTTGCAGCATATGCATTGATAGATATTGTCAGTTATGTGCAACTCTAAATGGGACTTAACTCAGGGTTGTTGAGGGAGGGAGAGGAGGGGGACTTTATATGCCACTTTGAGCTCCTGAATGGAAGGCAGGATATAAATCCAACAAACAAATGTGCAATTTTATAGAATTCCATAACATTTTATAAGAGTAAAAGCTCCAGTTACATAAAAGGGCATTCTATGGACTAATATTTTTCAAACTTGACAACTTGAAGATATATGTAAAACAATGCTGAGACTCCAGGAAAAGTGCAGAGAAGAGCACCAAAGTTGATTAGAGGACTGGAGGCTAAAACATATAAAGCATGGTTGTTGGAATTGGGTATGTCTAGTTTAATGAGAAAAAAAAAGAACTGGGGGGAGATGGGAGGTGATGGCAGTCTTCCAATATCTCAGGGGTTGCCACAAAGAAGAGGGAGTCAAGCTATTCTCCAAATCACCTGAGGGCAGGACAAGAAGCTAATGGAAACTAATCAAGGAGAGAAACAACCTATAACTAAGGAGAAATTTTGGACAGTTAGAATAATCAAACAATGAAACAGCTTCACTCCAGAAGTTGTGAGAAGTCCATCATTGGAGGTTTTTAAGAAGAGATTGGACAACCATTTATTTGAAATGGTACAGGGTTTCCTTCCTGGGCAGGGGGTTGGACTAGAAGACCTCCAAGGTCCTTCCAACTCTGTTATTATGTTAAGCATGCTACTGGAAGTTGAAGTCACACATCTTAAAGTTGCCAAGCTTGAAAAACACTGCTCTAGATAACACAAGTAATTCAGATCTGGCTGTTCCAGAAGCCTCTGATGTACACGAAGATTCTTCCTACGGTGGACTTCTATTTTTTTTTTTATGGCCAGTCTTTATATTATTACTCCTCCGTTGCACCTCAATAGTTCCTTTTTAAATTTTAAACTTTATTAGAGTGCAAATCTCTCAACTGAAGTAATATCCTATAAATCAGTAAGGAAATAATTCTTTGGTACAGGCACAGCAGTTTTCCATATCTGCTGGCTAACCAGTTCCACCCCTCCAATCATCATAGTTGTTGACCACATCAGTGATTATAGTGGTGAGATTCAATTTTTTTTACTACTGATTCTGTGGGCGTGGCTTGGTGGATGTGACCTGATGGGCGTGGCAGGGGAAGTATACTGTAAAATCTCCATTTCCTCCCAATCAGCTGGGACTCAGAAGGCTGAGAATAGATGGGGGCGGAACCAGTCAGAGGCGGTATTTACATGAGGCAAGCAACAGCAACCTTGAATTCAGCTATATAAAATAGACAGCCTGTTTAGTGAATGTTAACTGGAGATCAATCAAGCCAAAGTTGAAGACAATCCTCCTCTTATTCCTACCTCTCCACTGCCCAGGATTCTTGCCAGGATGGCTGACTTGGATTTCCTGAGCTAGTGAAAGGTTAGCTAACTGAATCCGATACCACTCAAACATAATTTAACTCATTTGTGGCTGCTTTAAAGAAGCATATGTTGATGTTTTAGACCTTGTACATGCAAGCAACTACTCTTTATGTACCCTGAAGATTAAATTATCCCTCACAACTATTCTCAACAGCACTGTAAAGCAATAACAATAGCACTTAGACCGCTTTATAGTGCTTTTACAATCCTCTCTAAGTGGTTTACAGAGTCAACATATTGCCTCCAACAATCTGGCTCCTCATTTTATCAACCTCAGAAGGATGAAAGTCTGAATCAACCTTGAGCCAGTGACATTTGAACTGCTGAACTGCAGCTAGCAGTCAGCTGAAGTAGCCTGCAGTACTGCACTCTAACCACTGTGCCACCTTGGCTTTCTAAAGAAACCCCTGTTATCAATGAAATGGGTGGAATATAAATTTAATAATAAAATAATTTTAAAAGTCCATTTAATTTCTAACCATAGTCCCCCTGCTTCCAAGGTCTAGTGAGAATTTGCTGCTGGTTCACTAAACCATGCCATGAAAGGCATCTAACATTTCCTTACCTCTTCGGTAGCTTGCTTTCAGTTGGTCCGAGATCCACAGCATAGCTTTTGCTGATATTTTTGTCCCAAAGTTTCTATCAAAGGGAGAAGGAGCGCCACCCTGTGAAAATCAACACAATTTAACAATGAAGTTGTATTTCAGATTTTTTTTGAAGGGTGGGGTAGGAAAATGAGGAGGAAGAGGTGTTTATGAGTTAGAAAAATGCACAACTGTAGGAAAAGAACCACATTTGTCTAAGTGTACCTGGTAGCACATTTGTAAGTTTGAGCAGTTGCTAAACAAATGGCTATAACTAACGACTCCCTGTAATTTTTTTAAAAAATGATTTGTTTGTAAATAAAGTGATTTAATATGTGAAGATGCTACGAGACTCTTTCTGATTTTATACTTGCACAAGATTCATTGTCTCACATTTAGGCACAGAACGAGGCATAGCCCAATGCAGGGGTGAAATCCAGCAGATTCTGACAGGTTCCGGAGAACCAGTAGCTGAAATTTTGAGTAGTTTGGAGAAGCAGAGCAAATACCACCTCTGGCTGGCCCCACAGTGGGGTGGGAATGAGGAGATTGCAATATCCTTCCCCTGCCATGTCTACAGAACCAGTAGTAAAAAAAAAAAAAAATTTCACCACTGGCCCAGTGCATTTGTATTTTCCACCAGGGGATGATGCATTTGCGTTCTTCATTCCTCATTCCAACTTGGTGCGCATCCCCAGCCATCCTAGAAACTTCAACTCTTGCAATTCCCAGCAGCACTGGCTGTTGATAACTTTGGAGATCAGTAAGCAATAGCAATAGCAATTAAGCTACCGAACGCTTCATAGAACTTTACTGCCCTCTGCAAGCAGTTTACAGAGTCAGGATATTGCCCCCAACAATCTGAGTCCTCATTTTACTGATCTCGAAAGTCATATGAGTCAACCTTGAGCTCCCCAGGATGGAACTGCAGGCTGTGGGCTGTGTTAGCCTGCAATACTGCATTCTAACCATTGGGCCACCATGGCTCTCTCGAAGAAATAAATTATCGGGTTCCACTAGTGTTTTAACTTTTAATGTTTTTTCCAGAGTTTGTTAGCCACCTTGAGTATTAGTGCTAGAATTGAAAGGACATAATTAAATTAGTCAATCAACACATACAGCCTAGAGAAATATGTTACTTCAGTGAGAATCACGGTCAGATCATCACTGTGGCTACAGTATATGGGTCATAGAATATTTACCATGCATACAGTGATAACTTTCATTTCTTCTGATTTATTTTCTTAATAAATATTGGCATCTGGTCTCTTAAGAGTTACATCTTTTGGGTTGCTTATGTCAGCTAGGACCTGAATAAAGTCATAGAAGCTTAGTAGAATGCCTTCTGTTCAGTGATGAAATCCTTACATCTACTTAACAACTGTACTCAAAAAAAAAGGACTGAAATTACTGGATATTAAACTTCTCTCATGGTAAATTAAGCAGCAGCAGCAACTAACAGCGATCTACTCTGCAGACTGGAAATGGACACTCTGCTTGCTGTTAAGAGTTAGAGAAAGCATAGCTGCTTTTGTACATGGCTCCAACCTACAAGGGCCATTTGTATTGCTATTATTGAGTTAAAAGAAGCATTCCCACAAACCCCCTCTGGAGTACTTAACCATTCTCACCTGCTGCATATGACCCAGCACATTCTTTCGACAATCAAAGACCCCTTTGCCTTCTTCCGAATAGAGCTGATAAATGAAGTCAGTTGTGTAGTTCTCGCTACTATTTTCATTCCTGTATAATCCCCAAAAAGCATGGCTTATTTATTTGACACAGTTTTTTTCCTATACTATTGTATATCTGCACAAGTGAAATGGGATTTCTGGTTTGCCTCTGTAATGGTAGGAGAGAAAGACCTTGGAGAGACAGGACAACCAGAAAGAGACTCAGAAAGGACCTCCAATTATAAAGCAGATGGTGGGAGATTTGTGTTTTCAAACTTGCAAAATCCAGTTAATGTAATGTAATAAAGCTGCCAGCCTTATTATTTAAGTATAGTTAGCTCATCTAGTCTTATTGCCTGCCTCATCTACCTGTGAAGGCTGACATCAATCTTGCAAGTCTGAAATTATAATTCCCCCATTCGCCATTATGGCTTGAGAAGCTTGGGAAGGTTCCCTCTGTACCTCTTTCTCCATCCATTATTCAGCTGAGGAATATGCCCTCTCTGATTTGACCATCCTTTAGGTAGCAATTTTTGTCTCGTTTCTTAAGGTCTTTCTTACATGCCATTACTGTTTCCCATTCAAACTGCCTAACTTGAAAGAGCAAAAAAAAAAAAAAAAAAAAAGCAGAGCAAATATCAGTTTACAAGGTAATCGCTCTTCAGAATAAATAATTGATTCGGGTGTATTCTTCACTCTTGCTGGAGACATTATCAACTTCTACATCTACATCTACATCCTCTCTTCAAGAAATAAGTTTATCTCTTTGCGTATGAGAAGACTGGCCACAAGATGAGCATGAGTCAAAGTATAAAAAAACAACTAGGTATCAGAATGTGACCAATCTGGGCTATTGCCAAGGGAGCACAGGGGCAACCCTTGTGATTGACAGAAGTCAACCTGCCCACCGTACAGTCTTGTTTTCTTTTTACACTGTGTACCATGCATCATTGAACAACATCTAAAATAGTGTTTCTCAACCCTTAGCAGCCTTACGATGAGTGGTCTTCAACTCCCAAAATTCAATTTGAAGTCCACATCTTCTGGGAGTTGAAGTCCACACATCTTAAAGCCGAGGGTGAGAAAAACTTGTTCTGAAATAAAAGGAAACAAGAAAAGAGAGAGAGAGAGAGAGATCTCACCTCCACCGGTTATAAATGGCAATACTTCAGCTACAATTTTCTGATGTTAAGGAAAGTAATTGGGATTAAGAGCAAGTTCTGTCTTCCCTGATGTGGAATTACTTAATGATCCAGTCAGATATTGTCTCCTCTGCCAGCCAGGAACCGTTGAAGCATCAATTATATGTAGAGCTAGCTAATAACTCTAGATCACGAGTATGCAACTTTTCCAGAGCAAAAGGTGGGCTTTGTTTCTGATTTATTGTGGACTGTACTTCAAAAATAATGGGTTGGGCTAACAGAAAAACTCAACCTGCATACAGGTAATTTTCGACTTACGACCACAATTGAACTACATTGCTAAGCAAGATAGTTGTTAAGGGAGTTGTTAATGGGGAGTTTGCCCCATTTTACAATCTTTCTTTGTCACAGTTGTTAAGAGAATCCCTGCAATTGTTAAGTTGGAAACATGGTTGTTAAGTGAACCTGGCTTCCCCATTGACTTAGCTTGCCAAATACACATGAGCCTGGGACACTGCAAACATCATAAACTCATGCCATTGCCAAGCATTTAAATTCGGATAACACGGGGATGTTGCCATGCTCATAAATATGAAAACAGTCAACAGTCACTTTTTTGCAGCACCATTGTAACTTCAACAAACGGTCATTAAATGAATGGTTGTAAATCAAGGATTACCTGTAGTTTCATTGACAATTTTATTAAACTAAAATTGAATATTGGGTTTGTGCAAAAAAAATAAAATAAATCAGCCTGAAATGTTATTCTGAGTGCAGTTCAACCTAACCTGTGAAACGATTTAAATTTTGCTTTTGAGCAGGTACTTTCCCCCCAAAGAATCTGAGGGTGCAAACCAGTGGTAGGATTCAAATAATTGAACAACTGGTTCTCTGCCCTCATGACCAGCTGGGTAGGCATGGCTCAGTGGTCATGTGACCAAGTGGGTGTGGCAAACTCAACATCACTCACATCGATGGGTGCTTTGCTTTAGCTGTTACAATGTAATAGGGGTTAAGCGGAGAGGCAGTTTCTGTAAGCAGGACAGTAAAGATTAGGCTAAAAACAACACCAGAATGTTTCCTTCCTGCCTTCCTTACAGGATTAGCCCTGTAAAGTGGGGAAAAACCAAAAGGAGATTTCTTCCAACAATCAGTTCTCCGAACTGCTTAAAATGTTAACAACCGGTTCTCCCGAATAGGTGCAAACCGGCTGAATCCCACCACTGGTGCAAATTAAACTCAGATTGTCCTGAACAAGAATACCCTGTTGAATGAAAGCCATTTAAATATTTTGAACTGAATCAATGAACTGGGTTGGATTATGAGGATATCCATCACACTTATTAATTATAAAAGATGGATCTTTTTTTTTCCTTCTGTCTTTCTGAAAATTATATTCTGATAGTAATTTTGGGAAATGCTTAGCTTTAGATTTATGGATGTTCTAAAGTCTGATTTGGATGCGCTTGTGCCCAACATCCTTTATTACGAAATGCCAAGGCTAAGCTTGTAGTTTTTCATGATTTTTAGAAGAAATCTATTCCTTTATATTGGAAAAGTATTTGCCTCTCTTGTCCCTACAACATGTTGGGTATCACTTTTGTTTGACCTGAAAGTTATGCCTTTGAATGTTCACTTACCTGAGTACCAAGCCTCGCTGAATGTTGGTTTTCATCTTTTCGGTCAGATGTTCCACATTGGCCTGCAAAATAAAGACAAAACTGAATCTTTATTTCTTCCAAACTGAGAAAATTCTTCCAAACTGAGAAAAACATGTCTTCCTTTTGAACCCAAAGAAGGAATAAATCATCCTGTTTACTATTTTTTTTTAATCTTTCACTGGCTGTACATTAACCAATTCAAAATTTTATAGGCTCTCCAAACAATATTGAAAGAGTAAATGAAAAACTTCAACTTTAGGTTCCTGGTTCATCTAGAGATCTAAAGGAGGTTGGCTGTGGATCTTCTTATGGACTTTTAAATTTGGTATACTATAGTGATGGAGTCACCGAAGCAGTCGGCATGGTCTCCAGAGGATGGCAGAGGACAGGAAAGCTGAGAGACAAGTGGGTTTTGCCCCATTTTATGCCTTTTCTTAGCCCAGTTGTTAAGCTACAGCTGTTAAATTAGCTACACGGCTGTTAAATGAATCTGGCTTCCCCATTAACTTTGCTTGTCAGAAGGCCACAAAAGATGATCACATGAAGAAGGAAGGGAAAGGAGAGGAGGAAGGAAGAAAGTAGAGAAGGGAGGGAGGGAGAGAAAGGAAGAGAGGAGAGGAGACGAGAGGAAGAGGAGGGAAGGAAGATAGAGAAGAGGAGAGAAGGATGGAAGGGAGAAGGAGAGACGGTAGGAAGGGGAAGAGGAAGAGAGGAGGAGGGGAGAGGTAAGGGAAGAAGGAAAGGAAAGGAGGAAGGAAGGAAGTAGAGAAGGGAGGGAGGGAGAAAAGAAAGAGAGAAGAAGGTGGTTAGAGTAGGCGAGGGATGGTAAACAAAGCAACCCAAATGGAATATTATAATTCTATAAATGGAATGACAAATGTATAAGAACCATGAATGTAAAAAAAGAATAATTATTATGCGAATGTTTACCTATAATTGTATATAGAGAACAAAAAATAAAAACATTTTTTTAAAAAAAGATGATCACATGATCCCAGTACAATGCAACCCTCATAAATATGTGTCAGTTGTTAGGTGTCTGAATTCTGATCATGGGGATGCTGCAATGGATATAAGCCTGAAAAATGTTAATACTGGTGTTTTCCTGAAAATAAGACCCTGTCTTATATTTCTTTTTGGTTTTGCCATCAAAAAAAAGGCACCAGGTCTGATGTGTGTGTGTGTGTGAGAGAGAGATGTCATCCACTGACTGACCTCACTTGCACACGTTGCCCCCAGCCTCCTTTTTGCTGTCAGAGGCCTTCAAGAACAACATCTGTAGCCGGCAAAGCTTTCCTGAAGGCCTCTGCAGCTGATAACAGAGCTCTGGATTAATCCTGTAATACCTGTATCACCACCTAATTCTGGACCAATTAAAATTCATATACCGTATTTTTGGGAGTATTAGATGCACCTTTTTCTCTCAAAAAAGAGGTTGAAAATCTGGGTGCATCTTATACACTGAACACAGCATTTTTTGCCTCCCAAAACCCCGTCCCCTTAAATGGCCATGCATAGCCTTTAGGAGGCTTCCAGAGTGCTCCTGGTGTCTGGGGAGGGCAAAATTAGCTAAAAATGAGCTGTTTTCTGCTCGTTTTTGCCCCCCAGCCCCTAGGAGTACCCTATAAGCCTCCTAAAGGCTATGCATGCCCTTTTTGACAAAAAATGGGCCCATTTTCGCAAACGTGCTGTTTTTGGGAGGTCTGTAGAGTGGGAAAACTTTTTTTTATTTGCCTTTCCAAAATCTTGGTGCGTCTTATACTCTGAAAAATACGGTACCATTTTAAAAGATCATCTGAATAGAAAGTTTCCAGTAGTCATCACATAACACTTACCATATGAACAACCCTTAGCACTTGATGGGTATTTTATGAACTGATGAGTTGTAGATGCAGATCAGCTCCAATATAACCAAAGGAGTAGATATTGCAGATTAATGTAACTGTCAACACCCAAATAATAATATACTACAGGTAGTCCTCGAGTTACAACAGTTCACTGAAAAAAGTGAATTTATAATCTTATAAAACTTATAATCATTGCAGCATCCTCCATGGTCATGTGATCAAAATTCAGATGCTTGGCAACTGACTCATACTTATGACAGCTGCAGTGTCCCAGGGCCACCTATTGCGACCTTCTGACAAGCAAATAAATGGGGAAGTCAGATTCGCTTAACAACTGTGTTACTAACCTAACATTCTGCAGAGATTTGCTTAACAAAATTGGCAAAACTAGGTTGTAAAAACTAGCTTAACAACTGTCCGTTAGCAACATAACTTTTGGTCTCAACTGCGTAAGTTGAGAACCACCTGGGTAGAGTAGTAAGTGAAAGTAGGACTCAGCCCACCTGTGTGAATAAAGAGGAGATGGAGGCATTGCCTACCTGTAGCTCCCGAATGTCGAATTTTTCTTCAAAGATATAAGCAGCATCTGCGCCTGCAGCCAAAGCTCCCATGTTAGCCAAGTAGCCACAGTAGCCTCCCATGGTCTCGATGATGAACACACGTCGTTTCGTCCCACTTGCCGACAGTTTGATTCGGTCACAGGTCTAACGAAAAAAGATCTGTTAGCGACTAACATAAAAACATGCTTGCAATTGTTGGGAGAAATTTGTCCCTCTGGGTTCAGTTCCAAGTGGGGAAAAAGACACTGGGAAAAATGGAGGTTGCTTGGAAAGATGGTTTTAATGAGGGACAGGACCACATGATTTGATCATATGCTTCAAGATGTTGAGTAAAGAAGAAAAAGAGGGGGAGATGCTGAAAGTCCCTGGTTTTATGCCCTCTCTGCCCTTTGATCTTGTATTCTGATTGGTTGTCAGACTCCCAGGGGGACATGCAGGGGCAACTCTCTAGGCTGTGTTTTGAGTCCAAGTTTGGTTGAGCATTGCTTCTTCCCAGGTGACCTGTGGTGAGATAGGTAAAGGGCGAATGCTACCATGTCTCCCATCACCCTGGAGCTGAAGGGGGGGTCTTTGTTATGTAGAATAGACTGGCTTAGGCATTTTAATGGCTCATTGACAAAGGTGGAGCTATTAAGAGTGAGTCTGTTTCCTGCCTAAAAGCATGTTTCTCCATTTCTTATCCAGGGGAGTGTAATATTCTGCCCTTTCAATATTTCCTTGGATATTCCATTCTTCTAAGAGAGGGTTGAGCGCTAACTTCCTACACTGTCTTTGAAAGTTGTTGTATAGTATCATGTAAACCACATACAATTCCATTTATGGACAGGTTATAAAAACATAAAGAAGCAGACATTTATTTTAAAAGTGCTTAACTTTCACTTCCTGGCCCTTTACAGTCCAACTACTTAAAAAAAAAAAAACACCCCATAATGTTAACTATGAAATTCTTGGCACAAAATAGCTTTTTTTTTTAAAAAAGCAAAAGAAACCAACTAAATGACCAAACTCTGACTTGTTTCTCTAAGATAGCTAGACAAAAATCTTGTCCTCTAACACAGGGTGATTAATCACACTCTGTAAAACAGAAACAAACAAGCCACTGAAATATTCAAAAGGGAATGAAAGGGCAGCAATTCTGGCTCAAGTTTCAACCTCCAAAAAGCATTTGTCTTGCTCTTGAACAATGTTTGGGGGAAAATTAATGGCCTGGTGTGGGAGTCCGGCATTTCATCCTTGGAAATTGCTGCACTCTAAATAGTAGTCAAGATCTAAATCTTTAGAAGTGAAGTCTGGAAGAGAACGTCTGTTCATCCTGGGAAGTTTTGGAATAATTATCCAGGTGTTATGAAACTAAACTCCCTTTCTGCAAACTAAGTAGAGCACAACCAAGAAGGTCCACAGCACTTTTGAATGCTGGGAGAAAAAGCTGCTCAAGGAAATCAGCCGGGCATCCAGTTGAGTAATTGAAATCCAGCTGCAGATTCATTTCAAGTAGGCCTACATTAACCACATGTCAAATTCATACTTATTCTTCATATCCCGAATAACAGAGTTGGCAGGGACCTTGGAGGATTTCTAGATTTAAGCAGGAGATGTTTTTCTAGAAAAATGGTTGTCCATTCTGAGAGTCTAAATGAGGAACTGGTGGGAACTCTTGTCCCTTTAGAAACAAATGAAGCTCCAACAGATCAGGGAAGGACCTTCTGTGAACATGCTCACACTGGTATTTTTCATTCCAAAGCCATGTGCTTAAGCATCTGTTTAACAATGGAGAACTAAAAGGACATGCAGAATTGCACATGTTATCTGCTTCAGGTTTCATATATCTTCTAAGCCAGTCTTTCTCAAACTGGGCAACATTCAGATGTGTGAACTTTAAGTTCCAGAATTCCCCAGCCGACAAGTCCACACCTAATGCATCTTCTGACACTTGAAGTCCATATATCTTAATGAGCCATGGTGGTGCAGTGGTTAGAGTGCAGTACTGCAGGCTGCTTCTGCTGACTGCCTGCAATTTGACAGTTGAAATCTCACCAGGCTCAAGTCTTCCATCCTTCTGAGGTGGGTAAAACGAGGACCCAGATTGTTGGGGGAAATATGCTGACTCTGTAAAAACCACTTAGAGAGGACTATAAAGCACTGTAAAGTAGTATATAAATCTAAGTGCTATTGCCATTGCTATACATATTCTGGAAGTTGAAATCGATATATTTTAAAACATCTCCTAGGATTGAAGTCCATGCATCTTAAAACTGCCAAGTTTAAGAAATATTGTTCTAAGCCCCACCCTATGGACATAGCGCCTCAGCAATGGATTCTGCAAGCTAATCTTTCTGGAAAAGCCAACATGGGGGAATCTTGGGATCTTACCTCCATACCACAAAGCATAAATTGCTTCCGAACATGTGTCCTCCGTATAAGCATTCTGGCTTGTTGTCCCAGATCTGTGCCAAAATACTTGCTCTCTTACCTCAAACAATGGCATTCAAGGACATGTCAGCACCAATATTTAAGTCAGTGCCTGGGATGTTATTGCTAATAGTTGCAGGCAAGATACAAATCAGGATGCAAAATCCCTCACCGCGGCTCCAGGCTTCAGCTAGCATCAAGCAGCTGTCAAAGGCCTGAAGCAGTGGGACAAGGCATGGTAAGTAATATATTACGGCTAAATCTGGATAGGTATAAGATGTTCTAAGGGTGGCTCCTTGTGTGTGGCAATGAAAAATTTGGCCAGCCAGGGCTGCAGATCCCTCAGCACTGCTGAATAAAGAATGTGGCTTGTTGAGTTTGTTTGCTGTCCTTTGTTGTTGTTGTTGTTAGTTGCAAAGTCATGTCTGACCCATCGTGACCCCATGGACAATGTTCCTCCAGGTCTTCCTGTCCTCTACCATCATCTAGAGCCCATTTAAGCTCGCTCCTACTGCTTCAGTGTCTCCAGCCAGCCACCTCATTCTTTGTCATCCTGTTCTTCTTTTGCCCTCCATCTTTCCCAGCACGAGGCTCTTCTCCAGTGAGTCCTTCTTACTCATTAGGTGGCCAAAGTATTTGAGTTTCATCTTCAGGATCTGACTTCTTTCAAAAGAGCAGTCAGAGTTGATCTCCTCTAGGACTGACCGGTTTGATCACCTTGATGTACAAGGGACTCGCAGGAGTCTTCTCTAGCACCATAGTTCAAAGGCCTCAATTCTTTGGTGCTCAGCCTTTCTTATGGTCCAGCTTTCACAGCCATATGCTGCAACTGGGAAAACCATAGCCTTGACTTTAAACACTTTTTTTGTTGTCCTTGCAGCAACTCAAATACAGGGTGCTGGATTTGCATCAGCACAGAAGATGATCAGAAGGAATTAGTAGGAAGTTAATACCAACAAGAGAGAGATTAAAGTAACAGAAGACAGAGCCCTTGTAATTAAAATCCATTTTTGCATTCATTTTTGCATCACATCAGAAAGAAATGAACTGATTTATACTTTGCTTTTCTCCTAAACTGAATTAGGATTAGGCCAATAATTCGGAGAAGATGCTTGAAGCCAAGAACAGCTCAACTAGCCATTCATGGTCATCACCAATATTATCCTACACCACTCATATTTATGGATGCCAAAGATGACAAAAAGAGATCCATCATTTTATTTTGAGGTTGGGAGGAAGCAGAACAACGCCAAAGATAAGCATTAATAAAAGAAAAACATTCTCCTTTCACTTCTGGTCAGGCAATGAGAGGGTAGTTTCTTGTATTTGGGAAAGCAAAATAATAGCAATATTGAGCATAATACATTTGTCACTAATGCTTAGTCTTTGGGTTTATGTAAAGTTGAATGCATGCTGTCCATATCAATGTGGCTTTTACTGCATTTCAACCTGAACCTTAAGCGTTAATTCAGATTGTACATTAAGGAAAGTTACATTTCCACTGCAGTATTGAAGTGAGGACCTGCTAATTTTGTGCGGCAAATGCTTTCGGTCTCTTCTGATAGGAAGACCTCAATCTTTTTTATTTCTCCATCACTCCTGGGGCTGCAGGGAGAGACCATTTCATCCTTCCTGAGTAATAGTTATAACTGAACACTAGCAACAGCCAATGCTATCTGTACATTCCAGCCATCTCATAAGACTGTCACTTCAATTCTTATCCTTTTTTTTCCAGCCAGTTTGTCTGGCCTTAATAAAAGGTATTGCCAAATTAAAATGGCATTTTTCAAGATTGTGTGTGTTACTGCTTTATTTCTTTCACTCCACTCAAAACCCTTTAGTCTGAAAAAAATAAAGGTTTGCTGTTCCCTTGTACATTAAAAGCATTAACTAACATATTTAGCTTCTTGGAGAGCACTAGTGACTATCTCCCATTCATTCATCAGTCATGGCAGCTATAAACAAGGGGCTCTCAGGCCATAGCCTTCTGAGTAGATAAAAAAAACCTCAGGTGCATTGAAGGAAAGAGCTCAGCGTTTTATGTTTGAAAACCATCTGCATTCGGATAACAGAAAGAGAAAGGAACAGCGTAGCCATCTTCCTGAATATATTCTTTTTCCAATGACAGTGACTTGCTCATCATGCAGGATTACTTATTAAAATTCAAGGTGTCTTTGTAGGGAAAAAAATATTTAGTCACCCCAGGCAAAAGAAGCAGCAAACTCAGTGCAGCTCATGTTTGTTCGGCTGGATTTCAGGAACTGCCATATTATGGACACCCAACAATGATATTGAGGTTGATAGTCTTTGATTGCACAATATGAAGGTTTCTCTGCATTAATCCACAGGTAGTCCTCATTTCAAGTCCACTGGTTCAGATCCTATTTAAAATTTGGATGGGAGTTTCTCAGTCATCCAGGTCATTGTTGTCCTAAAAGTGGTTTTTTCTTTTGTTCAAAAGGCAACTGGCCTTTCTGACATTTTGCTTCTCATCCAAGAAGCTTCTTCAGCTCTGATTGGATGGGGGGAAATGGGAAGATTTATATTCCTTGCAGACAGCAGGTCATTCCTTTAGAATTTATTCACACTTGAATTAATCATATAATATATTTTACAATCTAACAAGCTTCCTCCCTTTCAATGTAAGATCAGCCACCAAAATGTTTTACTTGCCCTGGTATCTGTTTGCATCTCATACAAGTAAAATGACTTTCTTCATCCAGGTGTACCTGAATTGAAACTCTCAGGAGAATGACTGCTGGTGAAAACTGGTGGGAGTTTTGTCTATGGAGATTCTAAGTCATCGAAGTCATGGTTGTCTCAAAGATGCTTTTTTCAAGAGGCAACTGGAATTCCTGGTTTTGCTTTGAAGATATTTTGCTTCTCATTCAAAAAGCTTCTTCAGCTCTGGGTGGATGGTGGGGAATGTAAGGCTCCATACCCATTTGTGCTACTCAGGCAGCGCATGAGGACATGGATAAACTTTCAAGTGGACTCAATGACTTTTTAAAAGAACGCAAATGACCAGCTGTCTGCAAGGACTATAAATTCTTCCATTCCCCATCATCCAGCCAGAGCTGAAGCTTCTTGGATGAGAAGCAAAACATCTTCACAGAAAAAACTAGAAAGTCTAGTTGTTTCTTGAAAAAAGCATCTTTGGGAAATTAGGATGTTATGATGGGTCCTCACAGTTGCAGCCATAGCAGCATCCTCCTCATGGTTATGTGATCATGATTTGGACATTTGGCAAACTGATTCACAGTCATGATGTGGCAGCATCCTGGGGTCACATGAACACAATTTGCAAACCTCACTCCCAACTTCCAATAAGCAAAGTCAATGGGCAACTGGGATAGCTGGAACTGCCATTGTTAAGTCAAGATGGTCATATGGCATCAAAACCTATGACCATATCTCTTAGCATGTTGAGCAAGGACTTACCCAAATAGCTAATTTCAGAAAATAGTGAAATTAGAAGCATGTCTGGCTGATCTTCAGAACAGAGAATTTTTAAAAGTTCTTTTCTAAAAGTTTTTTAAAAGTTCATCTTTTCTAGCTACAATCTAGTCAGTAGAATTAAAGGAAAATCCAGAAGTGTAATAATGACTAGTTAAGACAGACAAGAAAATTGGTGAGAGAAAGAAGGACAGTAAGAAGCATGTAGGCAATATTCATTTTTGGCTTTCATGAAAATGGCAATGGAGAATCTTTTATACCAGAACTGGAATCAAAGTTCCCCACAATTATTTACTATAATTAACAGGGGTGGATAAAAAAAAATCAAGATGGCAGTCACAGTAATATTTTAAGCCCTGCCCCTAAAAGGGGCCTGACCTTAATTGTGTGGTTGTGGCCACCTTTTTCATATTTTTGACCCATCTTAACTTTTTTTTTATTCCTCTCCCTGTAAATACACTGACAACGGGTTATTTAAACAGCTGTTAGGTGTTTTGCTTCAGGCAATGAAAAATATCTCTCTGAGTTCTTGTTTCTCCTTGTCAGCTACAGCCTAAAAAAGCTTAAATCACAACTGATCTTTCAAACGTCATGAGATTCTTTTTTTTTAAAAAAAATTCACATTGTGTAAAATGCACTGTCTCTAAAATAGAGAAGAATCAACAGAAACTGTGGCCTGAGGCTTAAATGCCAAATGGAATTATTGTCTTCTAGAACGTTTGTCTCCAAATGTCTGTGCTAAATCATGCCCAAAATATTCCATGCAAAGAATTGCTTGGTGCATAACAGCTGGTTTCAGGAGAGCTGCGGCCAGACCAAAAAACAGATGAGAACAAACATCTGTTTTGATCCAGGAAGGACAGGCCAGAGGGTAGAGAAAATAAAAAACATTGGCTAAGCCAATTTGATCTAATGGTAAAGGCACAAGGCTGGAAACTGGGAGACTTAGTTTTAGTTACACTTTAAGCAGAAAAGTTAATTTGGTGACCTTGTACAAATCAGGGTGTGTGTTTTGTTAAGATACAGTCTGTTGTGCCTTTAATGGCTTCTACTGTACTGCCATAAAATGGCTTCTACTGTACAGTGCAATGGAGTTGCCATCGTAATGGTTTCACAGTACTCCACAAGGGGGCTCCCTCTGGTAAGGGAGAAAATCTAACATTAGAAATTACATTTGGTCCGGACATTTTACCCTTATAAATAAATACCTCGGCAATGCTGGGTTATCAGCTAGTTAGTTATAAAACAGAGAAATTTCTTGTTAGGATGCAAAAAAATAATACTTATGGAGTTGTCTTTCATCAATGTTGTGCTTTACATCTGACAAGTCTGGGGGGAAAAAGTGTTAAAAACTCACATTGGTTTTGAATTGTCTACAATAGTGAAAATGTAGAAGCCTAGCACTACATTATTGAAATACCCATCTAAATAGATTTGCTATTCATTTAATATTTTATTAAGTTTATAGGGTTGTTTAGGATGTAACAATCTTCAAAGCTGCATTGGAAACTTAAGGAAAGCAAACCGGAGCATTTCGATCATCATATAGAACAAGCTAGAGATTTTGGTACACTAAAACCATTTTAGATGACATAGTGATCATTCATTTTTAGATACTGAACCATCTCCTTCCTAGGATTTAATCATCTTCCAGTTTTTGGAGATCTCAGAAGGTGGCAGCACCTAGCCAGCCTTTGCTCAACCCCAAAAATTTATTAGGGTTATACTTGAGTTAACATCAATGGGAGACTCCCAGGACAATTCAGGGCTAGCGATTAGGCTTGGAACATAGAAATATTAGAAAGCAGCAAAGGGAAGCCAATTCTACATTGCTGGGGGGAGGGGGAGACAGAAATGTTTGTATAACCCCTGAAAAATTATGTTTTTGTAAGTTGTCTTTAAAAAAACAAACCTTATCTGTATTGATGCATATTTCAGTATTGTTTTAATATCAGAGGTAGATTCACTGAAATCAAATATTGAATCAAACACTGGGGCGTGCATTTCTTATGAACAAATAAATAAAATGTTAATTTTCACATTTTCTGAATCTGGTCAAACTACCTGTGTGTGTGCATGTATAGATGTGTACATCATGCTTATGTATGGATGTATGGATATGCGTTGCTTGCCTGTGATTTTAAGTGTAGGTCGGGTTTATGATGCAATCTTAAGTGTTCTGGTCTAAGAGGATCTACAGTGCCAGCTGCGTTGAGTAGCATGCAGGGATGTTCAGCAGTAGGTTTCACATTTTGTTACCACCGGTTCACGGGCACATGCACCCCTTCCACGCATGCACCTGGCCTTCCACGCATGCATTTTGCTCATGCATGCGCCTTCCGCTCATATGCCCAGCCTCAAAAACATGCCTAAACAGGATGGCATACAGCCAGAGCAGGTCCACCTGCAATTTCTGCTATTGCTTCAGGTGAGCCAGTCCAAACCGGCTGAATACCATCTCTGGTTATGTTAGTGAACCACATAGGCAGAAGTAAAGAGAAACTTACATCAGTGATAGTATTCAGAGCTGTATCTGCGCCAATGCTGAAATCAGAACCAGGTACATTGTTGGATACAGTTGCAGGAACCATAACCATGGGAATACAGAATGCTTCGTATTTCTCCCGGGCTGAAGACAATTCCAATAGTCCCAGGTATGCCTGATGGGCACATATAGACATTATGTAAAATTAAAGGGAAAGAAAAACAAAACTTGGATTGAAAGAAGTAGATGGTGCAACAGAGGTGGGGATTTACAGCCAGTCTGGCTCTCTATGGACACACATAGATGCTGGTGACAGATGGTACAGTAATGATTTCTTTCAGGGAATCAGAAGTGATTTCAAAGAGGGATCACGGTTCATGAGTATAAGCTTTCCTGCCTTTTATTTCTGGTAATCAGCTATTTTGGCACAAAATTCTGTTTCACTTCAGGCAGGCACAAAATTCTGTTTCATTTCAGGCAGGCATTCGTTGTAAAAGGAAAACAGTGCTGTGCCCCATGAGAAGGGATTCCTTTTTCAATCTTTTCCCCCTCTATTAATATTTACTGTCCATCTGCAGTAGAGTCACTATAGCAATATATAAAGAATTCTATGGGTGAGCGATGGCTAACCTTTTTGTAAAGGTGTACCAAAATTCTGTGTGTGCACGCTATTGTGTGCGCATGCCTAGACCCACAATGGAATGCGCCCCACCCACCTGCGCATGTGTGCATGCCCCTCCCAGGTGATGGGGGGGTGTTTTAGCCTCCCCAGGCTCCAGAGGCTTTCCTAAAGCCCGTGGAGGGCGAAAATGGCTTCCCCTGGGCCCCCAGAGGGCCTCCCAAAGGCGGAAATGGATCATTTCTAAACTTCCAGTTGGCCTGTTGAGCCTGCTTTTCACCCTCCCCAGGCTCCAGAGGCTTTCCTAAAGCCCGTGGAGGGCGAAAATGGCTTCCCCTGGGCCCCCAGAGGGCCTCCCAAAGGCGGAAATGGATCATTTCTAAACTTCCAGTTGGCCTGTTGAGCCTGCTTTTCACCCTCCCCAGGCTCTGGAGGTTTTCCTGAAGCCCAGGGAGGGTGAAAAACAGCCCAATTTTCTATTCAATCATGGATTCAGTTAACCACCTAAATAAAAGAGTATTTTAAAAACAGGGCTTCCAGAGTTATGTATTAACTTTTAAAAATGGAGTGTGTACTCCTGAGCAGGCATACAGTTTAATCGGTGGCTTAATGCAGTGAGATCAAATGGGACAAATTTAGTTAACGTAATGATTATTTTTTTTAATTGATGCTACCGTAACATGAGGCTGCCAATGAAACTCAAGGCCATTTCACCACTTCTGTATCAGTGCTTCTACATCATGCCACAATGTGTAACACCAAATATAGAATACAGTATTTTTCCAAAGCCCATTCAACAGAAGGATTCAGAATGCCTTAAGCCATGGTTTGTTTAATGTAATGCCTAATTGTCAGCAAGAATTTAGAAGAGAGGGGAGGAAAGCAAAATCATATACCTCAAAGCCACCAATGACAAGGAGAGCGTTGATGTTATGGGCCCGCACTTGTTCTGCAATTTTCTCCAGAACCTTTCCAGGGAGTGTACTAAAATAATTAAAAAAAAAAAAACAAGACAATCAGGAATATCTACAGGGTAAAATTAAATATACATTTGATTTCTCATCTCACTTGAGGCATAACTATATATTGAAAAGGATATAAATTGTTTTAAAATGACCCTGAAATGTTTTTATAGTTTTAACTGTGGTAATTTTTTAAAATTGTAAGTTACTCAGTCATTGATTGAAATTGACAGATACAAAAAAGAAAGAAAGATGAAAGAAAGGAAGGAAGAAAGGAAGGAAGGAAAAAGAAAGAAAGAAAGAGAGGGAGGAAGGAAAGAAGGAAGGGAGGGAGGGAGGAGGAGGGAGGGAGGAAAGAGAGAGAGAAACAAACAAACAAACAAACAAACAAACCAGGCTTATACCTCCATTTCCCTTTGATCAGCCAATGGTTAAATCTGTTCTGTTCAACTGTTTGGTAATTTCGGGGTATGTCTACTATTGCCTTTTTAATTTCTAGATAGATAATATATAATACTGTTGAATTACCGTTTGGTGCCAAGAATTGACCCTCCTTGGCCAGTCCAACCTCCAACGTCTCCCCACATGATTTCTTTAATCTATGAGTCAGAACAACAAAAAAATATGTGCTGATTAAATTATAATTATATTGCTGACATAACTGAAGATATATGTGTTTCTGCAATGGATGACAAAAATCCAATTTAAGCCTGGAAGCTATGTCATTTGAGCCAAAGATATCATGAAGTGCAATGCAAACACATTGTGACACAGTTGCCATAATTTGACTCAAATGCAATTCTAATATGTTCATGGTGCAACTGTATATGCAGTTTCCAGTATATGCTAAACTCCTCTTTCCAACTATCAAATCTAAAAAAAAAATCATTAACTCAGTGACAGCTTACACAAAGCATGAGGGAAGGCTGTAAAGCCGCTTAGTTTATGGGATTCTAAATCAAACAGTAGCTTTTAATTAAATTGGAGCAAGTAAAAAAGCTAAGAAGTCCAGATCAATTGCACAAAAGCTTATATGCCTTTATTCTGAAAAGCAGAGCAAAATGGAGACAAATCAGACAGTCTTATGAGTGATTCTGCCACTTCCTTGGGTAATTTTAAGTAATTTGGTTAAAAACAATCATATCTACAGGAGTGCTTTTCAGATTAGCTGGAATAAATTAGACTCTTTTAGGCTTCCTGATCATCAATCACCATTTGTGCCCAAAAGAAGACTGGGCAAGACATGAGCCTGCTTGCAATTTGGCAGCTCAAATCTCACCCGGCTCAAGGTTGATTCAGTCTTCCATCGGTCGGTAAAATGAGGACCCAAATTGTTGGATGCAATAAGCTGATGATGTAAACTGCGTAAGAGGGCTGTAAACAGTGGTGGGATTCAAATAATTTAACAACCAGTTCTCTGCCCTAATGACCAGCTGGGTAGGCGGGCCTCGGTGGTCATGTGATTGGGTGGGCGTGGCCAATATGACTCACATCAACGGGCGCTTCGCCTTAGCTGTTACAATGTAATAAGGGTTAACTGGAGAGGCAGTTTCTGTAAGCAGGGCAATAAAGATTAGGCTAGAAGCACCAGAATGTTTCCTTCATGCCCTCCTTACAGGATTTGCCCAGTCATGGGAAAAAACAAAAACAAATGGAGATTTCTTCCAACAACCAGTTCTCCGAACTGCTTAGAAAGTTAACAATCAGGTCTCCCGAATAGGTGAGAACTGGCTAGATCCCACCACTGGCTGTAAAGCACTGTAAAGCAGTATGTAAGTCTAAATGCCTTTTCTATTGCTAACTCAAGGACTTTGGAATTAAATCCTGCAGTTTCTAGCCATTATCACAATGTGATAAAGGGATGGAGAAATGTTGCAATGAAACAACTAAACAATTATAATAGTTAACTGACTTAGCAATCGACTTTCTTTTAAATTGAAGGTATTTTAAGGCTCTGTAAATCTGCTGGATTGGAAGTCTTAGACTTGAATCCGCCCTATGCATTTCATGTCATAAACACCTTCTCGGTGGAAAATACTAAAACCCAATGTGACGACAGATACTGTGATAGAACTGGCTTTTGTCTGTAGCTACTCAGCTAGGGTTCTTATCTCCATGTAATACAATCAGCCTTCATGTGGCAGCTGAACAATATACGCAATCTGATACCAAAGATTTCTCACCAAGCATTCACGAAGCAAACACTTTTTCAAAAGCAAGGAAAACCATAATATTAGAAGAGAGTTCTTTAAAAGCTAAATGAAAATGGGATATATCCCTTTACATGTCATATCTTCCAACCTCATTGTTCTTATGTTTCAGCTTTTCCCAACTTAAGGTATTCCAGATATTGGATTCAAACTCCCAAAATGATAGCAGATATTATCATAGGCATTCAGTAGAAGCTTTGATGATGCCATGGTGCATTGGGCCTTAGTTTCCCAACCCATGTATATTAATATCCTGAATATCTGTCATGGAAAAGGTGATAAAGGCCATAAAATATCCATCTCTAAAACGTGTTGTTACATTCTCTTAATATATCAATTGTGTCCAATGAGGAATACTGCTACCTCTTGCTCTTCTGAAAAGGACTATGTCAGAGTAGATATATTTATGAACTGGAATAGGGCTTAGTAATAAGGTCAGCCAATAAGAGCTGAAACACTTTGGAGCCTGGGCGTGGCTTAGCTGTTTAGCTTTGAGTCTGTACTGAAAGCTAAAACTAGTCCGCTGAACTAAAACCAATCCCTCCTCTCTACCATATTGGAAGAACCACACTTGGTATTGTATATATGTCTCATGTGTTGTTATGTATATAAAAAGAAGTTAATGAATCCTGCTGAATCAGTTACCTGTATGTGCTTTCTGGGTTTGATTTCTGCAACAAACTCTTACAGACTATTAGCTATCCAGGAATTCAATCCTGAGCGGCTCAAGGTTGACTCAGCCTCCCATCCTTCTGAGTTGGGTAAAATGAGGGTCCAGATTGTTGGGGGCAATTGGGCTGACTCTGTGACCCACTTAGAGAGGGCTGTAAAGCACAGTGGTCGTACATAGGTCTATTGCTATTGCTATAATGGGAACTCTTATGATTTCTATCTAAAAGGTAAAGGTGAAGGCTCCCTTGACTCCTCCCTATGGCCGTGTAGATACAGCCATCCAGTTTTCTTGGCAACAATATGGAAATGCCTTTGCCACCTTTCCCAAAACATGGCTGGACCAATTCATGGAACTCATGGAGATCAATGGCTATTGACCTTGGTGGCAGTGTGACTGTCCCTAGAGATCTTTTGCTGGGAGACCAGTTGGCTTCCTTGAACAACTGGTTGGTCGCTGCCAGAAGATGGGTCAAAAGATCCAGGAACAAGATGCTGCTTATATTCCTATGAGTTCTTATCTACCTTTCAACCCTGGGATAGCCTGAGGAAGAGGGTTTACCATCCCAAGTTCTAACGTGGCAAGTTCTGACCCGAGTCGAGGCTGGCCAGGTGTATCTTCCTGTTGAGACTACTTCCCATAAAACTGTGACATCAGACAAATATAGGAAATACCAACCTGCCCTCTAGAAAAGCCTTCAAAGCCATCAGTGACAGCTAACATTTTGTGTCCTTCGGTGATCCCAAGTCTCACTGCGGAACGGACAGCAGCATTCATCCCAGCTGCTGGAGCCCCCACATTCAGCACAGCGACAGTGAAATTGCTCTGCAGAAGAAGTGGCAAGGTTTTTGAAATAAAACAGAATTCACAAGGCACAGTGGGATAACTCAAAATTTTTTAAAAAATGAAGTTTTTTTATGTTTGAATTCAGACACTTAAAACAATTCTGGGTGTAAGCAATTAAAAGCAGTCTCCAAATCTTAGAAAACCTGAGAGTTGTTTTTTTTACATCCGAGTTGTTATAATAATCCCATTAGCCCTACACTCATTTCTGCTTCAAGAAGACTCTAACTACCTAAGCTTTATTTTAGAAAAACAGAAAAGCAAGTAATGTAACACAACTGATGTGAGTGCCAGTGTTGATTTTAATGTAGCTAATACATACACAAAGGAAGAAATATTTTCTTAAAATAAAATAAACATCAAAAAGCAAGCATCACACCTGTCCTCCTAAAAGCGACTGCATCCTTTCACATGCAATCACTATATTGTGCTGAAAAATAGCAGATAACTAAACATGATAAAACAGCAAATCATTAAATGCTGCCTACAAACCTGTCATTCAATCCACATCCATAAAGCTTTTTTGCCCAGCAATAAACCAAGTTTTACTATCAGCAATATATCCAATGAAAAATATCACATTGTGCTCTGGAGACTTTTTATCCAATGTAAAAAGTCAACCTATCATTATTTGCTGTAATGTATTTATTCAGAGATATTGCTGTATGTGCACCTCAATCCTTATTTCCATTGAAAACACAATTCTTGAAAGATTGTTTCCTAAATGTTAGTGGCCAAATCTACAAAGTTCTAAAAAAACATAAGGTGATCTTTAAATATTTAGTTTAAAAACCTCCAGATACAAGATTAAAAGCTTGTAAAGATATTTGATTTTTTTTAAAATGACAAGTTATACCGACTTGTTAAAGAGAACAGAAAATTTTTACACCAAACTCCACCCACTAGTACAGTGGGCCTCAACCTTCCTAATGCCGCGACCCTTTAATACAGTTCCTCATGTTGTGGTGATCCCCAACCATAAAATTATTTTATGTTTTCCGTATTTTTTTGAAATATGTGTTTTCCAATGGTCTTAGGCGACCCCTGTGAAAGGGTCGCTCGACCCTCAAAGGGGTCTCGACTCACAGGTTGAGAACCCACTGCACTAGTATTTCCTACTTACCTAGACTATAAGCAAAAATAGTATGCTGTAACCAGATGTACTTTGAACTGACTAGCATCTGATTTTAAATTGCTATTTAACAACACAACCAATTAAATTAGTGGATTAATCAGGATGCTGCTTTTAAGGCATATAACATTTTACTCCAATCCACCATGGGAAAATTTGCATATAAAGCTTCAACATTAACCTTATTTAGAAGGTTGCAGGTTCACAGATGTGAACATTCATTTACCCTAAGAGGTAAAATTCATACCGCTTAATACAGCTAAAGTTTTTTTTAAATTATCATCCAAAAACTTTCAAAAAGAATCCCATGATCATTTTTAAGATGCAGTCTCATTTCCAAAACTGATAGCTGGTCTAAAGGGTTAATTAAATTATACAGTAATTTCTAAATCTACAAAATTCTACAGTATTTATTTATTTATCTAATTTCCAATACTTAAACACTATATCTGTCAAAGTCTGGGACTAGGTGGTGCATAATAATAAGAACAGAAAATATTTATGTCAGCCTTAGAAGATAGACCAGATAATAAGCCAACGCCCTGCAAATCAAGATTATTTTTGTTGTAACAGTTATAACCTTGCAGATCTGAATGTGCTTCCCCTTTCCTATCTTCTCCTTTATGGGAAACAGAGAAGAGCTTGTCTAAGACATTATCTCAAGTTACTTTCTGGGGCACAGGCCTCTTATCTTACCACCGAGGGTCTATAGGGACTTTTCCCCCCAAAGCCTTTCCCTCTGTCCTCTTATCATTTACAAGAACTCTTGAAATCTCATTTTACCAGATTTTAGTACAATGAAGTAGCAACCCAAATTCCATTGTAATCAATGTCATTTGCATTATGCATGTTATTGCATTTACATGATACCTACCAAATTAAGTCTATTTCAGCAATATCCTCACTTTGATTCAGTGGACTTTCTTAAATATGGGAAGGTACACCCTAACCCTGCAATTAGTCTGTCAAAACAATGTTTTGCTGTTGTTTTTTTCTTTTGCTAAACTCTTAATTTGTTTCCTTTTCTAATACAATTGCAAACAATTAGCAAGCAACCCAAATTGAGAAATAACACAACGAAGGCAAGGACTTTATGAATTGTACCTTAGGCAGTTCGTCTTTTGGTTTTTTGTTAGACAAGAGTTTGTAGGTATTCAAGTTGTTGGTAAAACTCCTATAAAAAACAAAATTCTCATTTTGTTATCCTTTTCATAACATTACTGGGAAATATAGTGGCATTGTATTTTTATGTCAACATAAAATAATTATTTAAGTTGATATAGCTATGATAAATAATTAAATAGATAAATAAATAAACTATGAACAAATGCAATGATTAGTCAGGCCATTATTTATATATAAGTTTGTCCTCCTTCCTATGTCTGGTATTCTAAAAATGCATTGAGTCTCAACTCCTTAAAATGATGTCCCTCCCTCAGAAGACAACGGTTTCAGCAGGGGATAAATGCCATTATACAATTTCCCATGATTTTTTTTTAAAAAAATCTTTATATTCACACCTGCAAACAATTAATGAAAAGTAAATGAAATGTCCCAAATCTTCTGATATTGCAAATGCACAGATCACACTTAGCCTATTTCGTTCGGTATCCCACCCATATAATATAAGAGAATTTATTTCTTTAAAATAAAAGTGGGAGGAGGGGAATAGGCACTGCAGAGAGAATTTATTATCTTGCCCATACAGATTGTTAGATTGGAAGAACAGTAATCTGCCCCTATGACAGACAGCTAGAATTATATAACATTTTGAAACCTGGCAATAGCAATTTCACATCATATGCTTTCAAAAAAGAAAGCCTCTAGGCATCCTTGGTGCATTCTGGGTGTCAATCTGGAGACTCTTAACTAGCAGCAGTCATGCTGTCTCTACTATCTCTTATTTTGGTGGAGGCCTTTGATATAATTAGCATTGGAAAGCAAACCAACAACTTCTGCCATAAGATTAAAAAAAATAACAATGTCGCACCTTCCACGGAGTTCTACTGCATCTTGGAATCTCCTTTCATCCATAGCTTTCTGTACATCTTGAGTCTTGGGAATTAGGGAAAACAAAAACGAATCACACGTAAGGCAAGAATAACATCCTTCAAAGTAAGGTCCAAGAATAGAAAGTGAGTGGGCCATCACTGCCGTTCCACAAATGGGATTAAGCAATTGAATTTTAAACAATTTTGATGGATTACAATGCAATTTTCTCATACGTTTATCCCAACGTGTAAGACTCTTATAATAATATAGACCTATTCAAAAGGCTGTACATAACATTATAGTTAATCCTTGATTCATGACCACAACTGAATCCAACATTTCTGTTGCTAAATGAGAGATTTATTAAGTGAATTTTGCCCCATTTTATGACCTCCCTTGCCACAGTTGTTAAGTGAATCACTGAAGTGACTAACATGGACGTTAAGTGAATCTGGCTTCCCCATTAACTTTGCTTGTCAGAAGGTCGCATATTTCTGAACAGTTGCAATGTGCCATGCGATTCTAGCGCACTGCAGCTGTCATAAATATGAACCAGTTGTCAAGTGTTTGGATTTTGATCATATGACCTTGGGATGATGCAACAGTTGTAAATGTGAAAAACAGAACTCAGTTTAACAATGACATTGTGCATTTGAATAGTCACTAAACAAATGGTTATAAGTTGAGTACTACCTGTAGTATAAATGTTGTCTTATTAGCAATCTACGTGGTCTTACACATGTAGCTGTTTATTTGACTCATTCTTTTGTGGACAAACTAGACTTGGTTCAATAGTTGTGTAAATTAGGGCTGATATTTAAAATACAAAAGCAAACAAGTGAAGGCAGATTCTTTGAAATCGTATCTTTTGCATCCCAAAAGAATATATTGCATCCCAAGGAATGCTCCTGATTCAGTTTACTGTGGAAGCTTGGAGCACCAAGAATGATTTTAGCCACTCTATATAACCATGATATAATACATGCTCACGTGAGTGTACAAATACTCTGGTATGCCAAAACAAACAAGAAGAACAAGGCCTCTGGGATATCACAATCCAACACCCCAGTTTGCTATCAAACTTCCATCAGCAATTCAGCCAATTTACTTACTTCTATTGTAAGACTGACTGGAGTTGATTGTCCGCAGTGCTGATAAGCATTTCTCTTATGTTGTTGCTAGTGCTCCAAGCAGGCTACTGATTGCTAGATCATACTAACAAATTAATGCAGCCACTTCCTTGCGGAAACTCACCATTTGAACACACTCCATTAAAGGCAGGCGGACAGCCAGGTTCCCAGAGAGGGTCACCACACATCCAGGTGTTTCAGGTGTCGCTTCCAGAAGAGCAAGGACAGCCTCCACACCCATGCGGCTGGCCTGTAAAAAGCAAACTAATGAATGGTTCTTTTATAGGTATTAGGAACACCTGGTGGTGGATAATTTTTAAGCATGCCAACAGTCCCCTATGAAGCCCATCTTAAAAAAGATCAAATTAAGAAGACAGGGATATCAATTATTATCAGCACATAATCCAGTGGGTCCTTTAAAGGCTAGGAAACCTTCAAGATAACAAAGTATGATACTAGAGTTGACCAAGGGGTTGTCTATTTAATTATGTGGGTCCCCATCTGTTATGGCCCAGCAGGAGCTGTTGGAGCTGCCTACAGACTCCGATAGCGAGGGACCCTATGAGTCGGCTCTGGAAGATGTGGAGGACCCTGGGCATGGTTCAGACTCTGAGCAGGAACCAGAGAGGCTGGTTGGCCACCAGGAGGCACCTGAGGAATGGAGCAGCGGTGAAAGCCAAGGGAGTTTGTCCCTGATGTCAGGCCCTAGACCAGTGATGAAGACATCAGGCCCTGGAGCAGTGGGGAGGAGCTAAGGGAATTGGTCCCGGATGCCAGGCAAAGACGGGCAGATAAGCACCGGCAGCAACTACGGAGATATAGAAGATAATTGGGACCAGATGGTTGTGATTAGGCTCCTCCCAAGAGACTATATAAGAAGAGACTTTGGGAGGAGACGTTTTGCAGGATACAACCGTTATACTAAAGCTGGAGAAGCTCTTGTGCGTATTTCTTATCTGTGGAAGTCTGGGTTGCTGCCAAAGCCTTATCGGTGTGTTAATTTACTGTGAATAAATTGGCTAGCAGTAATCTTCTGTCAGCGTGGTTCACTGTATGGAGGGGGGGGGTCAGAACACCCATCTATATTAAATATCTCTTTGAAAGAACCTAGATTTGCTCAAGGCTCATATCTAGTAGGGAGATAACCCCAAATCTTCTAATACTATTCCAAGTATTGACCTATTTTGTAACTCATCCAATTTCTTGAAGCTCTCAGCCTTACTCAATTCTGGGGATTCACTCTAATTTCCTAGGTCATTGTATGAGACTCTATGTATGCATATTAGAGTCAAGTAAAGATGGAACAGATGGTTCTAACCCTAACCCTAATCCCAAATTGCAACCAACCCCTCTACTTTGGGGTCTGCCTCTACTTCTCTCCCCTTTTGACTTCAAGGAGACTATTTCATGAATGAGCCACTTATGGACCTCTTTAGACTGACCATTCTCGTGTTATGACTACAAAAATATGAATACGTTTGAAAGTATAATTTGCCTAAGAGAGTTTTTAATATTTCCATTTCCTTTACTTTCTTTTAAACTGAGCACATCTAACTTTTATAGGATAATTATCTAACTATAGAACTTGGAAAGACTTCCCATAGCTTCATTTCTCCAAAAGAAGACAATTTTCCTAATTTCATATACCAAAGGTAGTAGAAATTATTTCTTTATTCTGTTTTTAGGGATGGATTTTTCCCTTCTATTTTTCATTATTTTCATTATTAAAAATTATTTTTAATAATTATCATTAATAATTAATATAATATAATTATAATTATTAATAATGGAGATTTTGCTTTTATGTTCAAAATTAAGCAAGGGAAGGAGGGAGAGAGTGGGGTGGAAAGGAAAAAGGAAGGAAGGAGGAAGGAAGGAAGGAAGGAAGGAAGGAAGGAAGGAAGGAAGGAAGGAAGGAAGGAAGGAAGGAAGGAAGGAAGGATCTTTCCAACTGAATAGAAATAGCTGAATGGAAATTTAACCATAGCCCTTAGGTTATGACCTAAGTTCTAACATTTTTCAATTAATTTCTACCATGGCTCAAAATATAGAGCAAGGGGAAAAAATCAAGTAATGCCACCTAAAACTGGGTTGGGGTAGATACTCTATTCTTCCCTGGATACTCAGAAACAAATTGGTTATATTCACTCACCAAAATCCGATCAAAAGCAGAGGGTGTGCCTCCTCGTTGCACATGCCCAAGAATGGTCACCCGTGTGTCAAACCCCAACCGCTTCACCACAAGCTGCAAAAGAATACCAAGGTGAACCCAAAGAAGAAGATGGATTAGGAGCTCAGCAACTGTGCAGATAACTTCCTTACATGAGCACTGAGTAGAAGATTTAAGCCTCGAAAAATGCTTCTTGCAAATTCAGTTCTAATTCTTCCACCATCAAATTTAAATGTCTGGGACTCTTCTCTCTCCATTAGGACCCCAGAACTGGACTTTTTATGTTGCAGCAATCTGGAACAGCAATCCCCTCTCTTCCACAAATCCAGTTACCCCAACTTTAATACCACTCTAGAAAGCCTTACGCACATGCCTGTTTACCCATGTGTGGGGATCAGGGAACTAAGGAGAACTCATGGGATGGTTGATAGGAATGTAACTGTTGTTTTTTATCAGCTATCTCCAGATCAAAGTTATCTAAAATGGTCAATGTTGATCCTCAAGGGTTGATGGGCCATCCAAGGGGATTATTGTTTTTATTCATTTTCTATTAGTTAGAATAATATTTATTAAATTATTTGCATATAATAAACACTTGGGAGTCAAACAATCTGAAACTTTGTGAAGGAGTTAATGAGCTAAAAAAAATTGTGGGGTGTGTGTATCTCTGCTCTATATGCGCTATTACTTGTTGCTTTTTTACTGATTTTTATTTTTTTTGCAATTACTCAGACTTGCTGAGTGGTGACGTAAATAATGTTGTATAAAATAATTAGTGGTGATTGAAATTATGATAAATAAATAAGCTATCCAAAATAATTTATATCCTTTTATAGAAGTTCTGATTCTCTGTATGGCTGTAGTCCACAAATTCAGTATAAAAGTTTGTTATGGCAAGAGGTGCTGATAGCTTTCAGGTTTGTAAAAATTATGTACAATTTTTTTGTAATGAGCTTTTAATCAGATGTTTATTAACAAACCACAAAATAAAAAAACAAATTGAGAATGATATGTTTAAAGCAGAGGAAAAGAGTCAAATATTTTCCAGGCAGATTTTAATGTCGCTGACAAAAAAAACAAAAAACAAAAATGTCGCTGACAAAAAAAACAAAAAACAGAAGGAGTCAGCATGGAACAGCTGAAAATGAACCATGCTGCCTTAAAAAATAAGGGCAAATTGCACAATATTTTAATCATATCCTTTAAAGAATAACTAGTTGGTAAAATAAATTTCCATGAATGTCTAGTTAAGAAAGGAGAGAAAAGGCTCCTACATCAATACCTGTTAAACCAAATGTAGCATTGCATTTTAAAATGTTTAAAAGATTTTAAGTAAGGCATAGTGACTTACTTAAAACAAAGAAAAGAGGAAGCTTATAGAACTGGGTATCCAATCTGTGTAGATGGCTATCACAGGCTGAATTTTCTAAGAGTTGGTAATTTCACTATCTGAATAAATACATATGACCATGAATCAAGGAGCAAGTTGCTACTATAAAAATTGAGGCATTATCTGCCTTAATTTGTGTTTTTTTATCAACACTGTAGTAAAATAAAAGTTTATTCGTTCATTATCCATTATCTTTATATAATAAATTTACAAATCTCATTCAGAATGACTCATTCCACATTGATCACAATCTACTAAGATTCCCCATCAGACAGGGAAAAAAATGTCTATGGAAATTCTCAGTCATCCAGGTCATGGTTGTCCCGAAGGTGCTTTTTCAAGAGGCAGGTGGACTTTCTTGTTTTTCTATGAAGACATTTCACTTCTCATCCAAGAAGCTTCTTCAGTTCTGATTGGATGGTGGGAGAATGGAAGGAGTTATACTCCTTGCACCCAGCTAGTCATTTGCATTTTTTAGTGAGTTGTTGAGTCCACCTGGAGTTTGAGCTGTGTCCTCAAGGTCACCTGAGTGGTACAAATGGATGTGGAGCCTTCTTGGAACTATTGATAAGACTGTGTTGTAGACAGATGGTGTCTTCAAAGAAAAACCAGGAAGTCCAGTTGCCTCTTGAAAAAGCACCTTTGGGACAAATGTGTTTTCTTGGGCTTCCAACAAAAACAGAAAAAACAGGCAGTTTTTTAGAAAGCTGGAACTCTTTTTAACTGACTATCCCATGCCTGAAACTGAAATGGGATTAAGACCTCTAAGTTAAACCCTGAGTTTCAAATATTGTCCTGACTCCTGCGAGTCCCTTGATCTAGGACCGACCGGTGATCAAACTGGTCAGTCATAGAGGAGATCAACCCTGACTGTTCTTTAGAAGGCCAGATCCTGAAGATGAAATTCAAGTACTTTGGCCACCAAATGAGAAGGAAGGATTCACTGGAGAAGAGCCTAATGCTGGGAATGATTGAGGGCAAAAGAAGAAGGGGACAACAGAGAATGAGATGGCTGGATGGAGTCACTGAAGCAATTGGTGTGCACTTAAATGGACTCCATGGGGTGGTAGAGGAAAAGAAGGCCTGGAGGAACGTTGTCCATGGGGTCATGATGGGTCAAACATGACTTCACAACTAACAATAACATCGATAAAACCTCTACCAAATACTGCTTTGACCACACTGACACATAGGAACATTTCCGGCATAGCAGACACAGGGGAATCTATACTGAAACTCAAACTAAAGCATTTGCAGAACCAAGCTTTATCAATATTGCCAGAACACTCTGCACAGCAGATATGCATTATTTAGTGTAACACAGAAGCCAATAACAGCAAAGTGAATTTTCTACAGTAAAGATATTTTTTTAAAAAATCTATGTGTGATTTTCAAAAGCAATCTTGAATGTAACTATACTTAACTAAGACTGCATTTCAATTACAGGACACAATACAAAAAAAAATCCCAATATTTATAAACAACTTACATGAGAAGTCACATATATATTCAGCAGAAGTCATGATGTACATCTATGTACTTACATCCTTAACTTGTTCAGAAGTGATAGGCTTGTTGAAGGAATCAATTGCTCCTTCGGACACAATTATTATGTTCAACCTTTTCTTTCGGGCACGGTTCTAAGGTGAAAGAAATTTAAGACAGATCAGTAAAGCTAACAAAGCTAGAATAAGCTGAATTCTGAACATAGCTAAGAAACTTTTCATCTACTACAGGGGTGTCAAACCCAATCTTATTGTGGGCTGTATCGTGACGTATTGGGGTGTTTTTTGCCTTTGTGAAGCCAGACTGGGCTTGGCCTGTGTGGGCCATATCCAGCCCTCAGCACCAGTTTGACAGGCCTGGTCTACTACATGATACACAAATATTCAGAAAATTCATGTAAGACATCTAATGAAACTATGCCTATTGTGGCCCAGCAGCGGTCAGCGGATCTGGCAGCAGATTGGGACAATGAGGAGGTTGGGGAGGAACATGGGCCAGTCCTGGAGTCTGGGGAAGGCTCTGATGAGGGCTCTGTGTCAGAGGCAGAAATAGGGCCAGGGCCGTCTGACATTTATCAGCTGCCTTCGGACTCAGATATTGATGGGGCAGAAGAACAGCTGGAGCCTGTTCCCAGTGTGTGCATGCCAGGAGAAGGGAACAGCTAAGGAACAAGGGTCAACTCGGGAGTAAAGCTACAGGTGGAAGGTGAATGGCCCCTCTCCTAGGGAATAAAGAGGAGCGAAAGGGAGTAGAGTTTGTAGGAGACAATTAGTTCAATTCATTAGAGTGAAGATCTGTTCCTGACTTCTTGCCAAGTATTGTCTGCTACAGAGTAGTGTTTGGAAGATATCAGCCTGGCAGTTCTCCAAGCCTAATAAAGGTCTGTAGTTGTGAAATCTCTTGAAAGATTGTTGCCCAGTTGAAATCTCTTGAAAGACTATTGCTGGAGAGGAACTCCCTAAACCAAATAAAAGGAGTTTTATCAGGATGACATGATGGCTTTGTCCTATTGGGAAGCCTAGGTCAGAATAACACCCTATTGTTATTCTCCGCGCCCCACCCCAGCTGCCAATGTTAATGAATGTTTCTACTTCAACTTTGCACATTGTACATGTAGTAGGTCTTTCAGTTCCAGAATTTTTAGTCAGAATGACTAAAAAAAGGAACTACATTTGTTACCGATCAGGAAGCGTACTAGATTGCGGAAAGCTTATATATACATTTGACCACAACCATTTCCACCCTGGACAAATATGTTTGTCTGCTCAGGAGTATGAATACTCAGTAGTGAACCAAAAGGTCTCAAGCATTTTTGTTTCAGGAACCTTTTCAAATCAGCTGACAAACATATGAATGCTGCAGAGGATGCTATAAGATACGGATGAAGAACCATTCTTCCTTTAGACCAAGGTTAGGAAATGATAGCCCCAGTGGTGGGTTGCTAACTGGTTTACTACCGGTTTGCTCGTGCTCACGCGCATGTGCAGAAACATCTGGGCAGGTGGGTGAAGCCTCCCTCCGCCACCACTACCAGTTCGGCCAAACCAGCACCAACCCATCTTTGGATGGCCCTTATATGACTTGTAGACATCAACTCCCAGAATTCCTGAACCAGGCTGACTGAGGAATTCTGGGAGTTGAAGTCCACAAGTCATAAAAGGGCCCTCATTCCCCACCACTGGTCTAGAAATTGTTGGAATTCAAGGCCCATGCAGACTGAGGCTGGACATTCTGGGAGCTGTAGCAAACCATGCTTCTCCAAATCCATTCTTAGTCACAATTCCTGAAGGTTGTTGAGAGTTCTTGTTGTCTCATGCTGAAGTTGAGCATGAGATTTAAGGTAGACAACTCTCCTGAGATGACAAGTTAAAAGAGAACAGCCCAATATCTTCAAGAAATAAATTTTGCCACTAAAATGAACTTTTGACTCCTTATTCTGCAGGGAAAGATGTCAACAAGCCCAGTACACTATAAGTTTAGTGACGTTTTTGTGCATCTGTGCCGTTCGAGCAAACCAACTCCTGCTTTCAACCATAACTTAACCAAACTGTTTTGCAAGCTTGCCGAGAGCCATTAAGGGAATGGCCACGGATATTTTCTTAGTGAAAAATAAATGGATTGTACCATGGGGCTACCTTCACTACAGTGCTCCATTTTTAGAAGAAGAAGGGTGAAAAAAAAGACCAGAAAAATAATCCAAGAATGCCAAAAAAGGAGATCTTCACATGTCATCTTTACCATTTTGGCACAATTGTCTTTTGGAGACTGGAAATTTGGGCTATTCTTGTACAATTTTCACCAGGGAGCTAATAATCTTCTAAGGAAGCCCAAGGCATTATATAAACCAAAGCTGAAAAGGGATTACCTCAGAAAGCCTGGCACACATGTGATCTTCCCATCCTTCCTCAGGTGGATATTCAGGGATAAATACATAGTCTGCACCACAGGCTAAAGCGCTAACAAGTGCCAGATACCTGTGGCAAAGAAGGAAATTACCAATCAGTATATGAAGTGTACACCACAACAATGCTTTACTAAAAGTGGTTTATCTTGGAGATACATACCCACAGTGCCTTCCCATCACTTCCAGGACGAAGGTTCTCTGATGGCTACAGAAATCACAAGATAAATCAACAAACAAAACAAACAGTGAGATACTATTCAAACATAGAAATTGTGGATTTAGCATTAAGTGGATGACTCCAGTGCTTATTTTTTGTTTGTTTATTTTTTTTATTCTTTTTCATCTTCCTTCAGATGATCTTTCCTTAATTCATAATCTAGCTGCCAGCAAAGTATATACAGGTAGCACTTGGCTTACGACCACAATTGAGTGCCAAATTTATGTTGTTAAGTGAAACATTGGTTAAGTGAGTCTTGCCTCATTTTATGACCTTTCTTGCCACCATTGTTAATTGAATCATTACAGTTGTTCAGTTGGTAGTGTGGTTGTTAAGTGAATCTGGCTTCCCCATTGACTTTTCTTAAGAGGTCGCAAAAGCCGATCACATGCCACTGGGACATTGCAACCGTCATAGTGCCAAGTGTCTGAATTTTGATTACATGGCCATGGGGATACTACTGTGGTCGTAAGTGTGAAAGTGGTCATAAGTCACTTTATTCAGTGCCGTTGTAACATTGAACAGTCACTAAATGAACTGCTGTAAATCAAGGATTACTTGCATTACAACATTTTATTTAGAAATACCCAGGTTTTTTCCCCTCTCATTTCTCCATAATTATGGAGTTTAAAGAAAATACATCATTTACAAATTATCCTTCACATTTGCTACTACCCTCTTTCCCCGAAAGTAAGAGCAGGTCTTATATTAATTTTTTGCTCCAAAAGATGCATTAGGGTTGATTTTCTGTAGCAATGTTGGGTTTCTATTGGTTCAGTATAGTTCCTTGTGTAGGTGTGTGTCCTCCATGGCCTAGTTCATATTAGGGCCTGCAGAGCCACGCTGAATCACACAGGAGACAACTGGCTC